GGGGTTTCACCATGTTGGGTCAGGCTGGTTTTGAACTCTTGGCTCATTGATCCACCTGCCTTGGGCCTCCCCAAAGTGCTGAGATTACCTGAAAAGTTTTGAAACAGAATGTTGAGGAGAAAAGCAGGAGCTGCTAGGCCCTCTGCTGCAGCCCCTGACTTTGAAGGCATATGTCCTGGACAGTCCTGGCGTTCTGGGCACTGCCCTCCCACCCTGCTCCAGTCCCGGGTGGGCGTCTCCTGTGGATCAAGTGCCTTGCAGAGCCCTCTTCAGCGCCCAGGAGGTGTTTATGTGGCAGCCCCATGAGAGGCAGGAGGATGCTCCCCACTTCAGGATGAGGGCGCCAGGCATTTGGGGCAGTCCAGCCAGGACTCCAGCCCAGCCTCTCCCTCGGCATGGCGCACCTTGGGCAGCCCTTGGGGGCCACAGAAGCTCCTTGACTGCAGCTGCATGCTTCTCACCATGTTCCCCTGACAGACCGGACCTGAGATCTTCCCCGGGGCAGCCCACTCTGTTGACCAGGGCTGCAAGGTGGCCTGCTGCGAGAACCAATGGCGGGCCGCCAGCTGCCCACCAGATCTCCCCCAAGGGGTCTGTCCCTGAAGACTCAGAGAGTCAGCAGAGGGTGCTGAAGCTGAGCCAGGAGACTGCTGGGAGAGGAAGCCCTGGGGTGCTAAGAGCCAAAGGGGCAAAGCCAGCAGAGAGAGGCAGCCACAGCATCTGGAGGAGAAAGGATGGGAGCCAGGAAAGGGAGCTGCCCGTGGCAGTCACTGCCAGGTGGTCCTCCTGTCCGAGCATGCAGTTGTCCTTTCCCAGGCCTTGTTCCTGCAGGTCCCTCCGGCAGAACTTCCAAGTATGCTCTGCTCACTGCATACTTGCAAGGAGCTGCGCTGGGTCCAGACGTGGCACTGGAGAGGGCTGTATGTGCGAGGGGCAGCCCTGCTGCAGGAAAAGAGGACCTCCTTATTCTCTCTCATAATGCAGCCGGAGGATGCAGCAGGGTGGGTGCAGCAGCTCCTCTGCCTGTGGGGGGCTCCTGGACTGCCAGCAAGGTTCTGGGTCCCGCGCAGTGTGTGGAGGGAGAACAGAAGGCAGCAAGACCTCCCAGTTCAGAGGTCTCTTGGAAATGACAGATATCGTGCTGAGTCCTTAGATCCTACGGACCCAAATGTGGTCTTGTGGCACACCCAGCTGCCAGGGAGGTTGGCAAGTCAGGGATTTTTATTTGTTTCCCCCTTATCTCTGCTCAGAGGCCCTTGGGAAGATACACCTGCAGTGAAGCAATGCTCTCATGAGCGGTCATCCTCGATGTGTCCCTCTGGGAAGTGGCCTTTGGTTGCAGTCTCTGGAGCTGACCCCTGAATCACAGAAATTCCTCCTCTGCCAGGACAAATTCCACAGCATGCAGGGTTCTAAAGAAAAGATACATCTCAGCTTGGCACTTGTGAAATTATAGCTTATTTTTTAAAAGAAAAAATCTCTATTCTCATAAAGAAATTTGGTTTCCTGGAAGGAGGTAGGGAGACTGGGTTGTGGTGTCTTGGGTTTCCCCAAAGTCCTTATGAATCAGACACCATCAAATGTCAGCATGGAGAGGGCTCAACCCTGTCAGCTCTCTGTGGCAGATAGTGCTTCCTAAAGAATGCCACATCGCTGTCTCCAGTTCCACAGGCTCCTCTAGTCCCTTGTAATTCTTCTACCAAGAGGTGGAATCTACATCCCCATTCCCTTGAACTTAGGTGGGTCACTATATCTGCCTAACCCACGTGACTTCTGAATATCAGGTTGTAAAAATGTCATGCACTTCCACCTTGATCTCTTGAGATGCCCGCTCTTAGAACACAGCCCACCATACTGTGAGGAAGTGCCAGCAGCCTATCTAGAGGTTAAGGACAAAATGCCCAATTTCACAGCTGTGGCTGAGCTCCCATTAAACAACTAGGACCAATGTGAACCCACCATCATGGAAGAGAGTCTTCCTGTCCCAGCTGAGCCACCCCAGCTGACTCTGCATGGAACCAAGATGAGCCATCCTCTCTAAGCCTTGTCCAAATAGCAGAGCTGTGAACAAAATAAATGGCAGTCATAGCTGGGCACAGTGGCTCATGCAAATAATCTCAGCACTTTGAGAGGCCAAGGCAGGAGGATCATTGGAGTCTGGGAGGTTGAGGCTCCAGTGAGCTGTGACTGTGCACTCCAGCCTGGGCAACAGAACAAGACCTCATATCATAAAAGTAAAAATAAAAGTAGGCCAGGCATGGTGGCTCATGCCTGTTATCCCAGTACTTTGGGAAGTTGAGGTGGGTGGATCGCTTGAGTCCAGGAGTTTGAGACCAGCCTGGGCAAAATAGTGTGACCCCATCTCTAGTTTAAAAAAAAAAAATGAAAAAAATAAATAAATGGCAGTTGTTGTTTCAAGCCACTAGGTGTGTGGTGGATTTTACGCAGCAATGGTAAGCCATTTCAAATGAGGAAACTGAGCTGTAGAAAGCAGAGGTGATGTGCATGCATTTCCACAGAGGGGTGGTGGCAGAGACATGGCTCCAGGACCCTGGACTGCAGTTCTGGTGCTCCAGGATGGCCAGGCAGGAGAGAAATATGTATTCTGGCTGCTGGTGGAGAGGACCAAAGACCACCTAACTCTTCTGGAGATGAGCCCTCAGAGATCAGAGGGGGCTGTATGCCAATGAAGGTGTTCTGGTCTGCTAATTACCTGAGGGTCCTCCAGGGCTGGCCTGGACTTCTTCCAAAATGGCAAACTTGGAGTCAGGACTGGGCTAAGAGCTGTTCTATCCATTCCCTCTCTCACATCCTAGAGCAGAGCCCCTCCCTGCCTCACCCAGCCCTGTCTCCAGGCAGATATCAATGATCTTAGAGTATATGTAAGTTCTCTATACCCAATGGCCACAGCTGATTGGACTGGGGTGGGCCCCAGACCTCAAAGTTGGCCCATCTTTAGGTGGCCTGTGACTTAGTCTGGCACAAGAGGTTATGCCAAAATGGATTATTATGATTATATGGGTCAGTTTCCTTCAGCAACTTAATTTATAGATATCAAGAAAACTAGGTCATTTGCAGAAGGACATGATGAAGGAAGAAGGCCTAGAAACACCTCCGTCTCCCAGGTTCAAGCAATTCTCCTGCCTCAGCCTCCTGAGTAGCTGGGATTACAGGCGTGCACCACTAGGCTCAGTTAATTTTTTTGTGTGTGTGTGCTTTTAGTAGACATGGGGTTTTACCATTTTGGCCAGGCTGGTCTTGAACTCCTGACCTCAAATGATTTGCCTGCCTCAGCCTCCTAAAGTGCAGGGATTACAGGTGTGAGGCACCGTGCCCGGCCTGGCTATTTTTTAAGACATTGCAACAACACTGTATGAACAATCTCTACCTTGAAGCAGGGGGTTCCTTCAGCTCAGCACGGCTGTGAACTGAGCCGAGGCTCAGGGGATCCCTGGCCCCTCCTTGCTTGCACTGAAGGTCTCCCTGAGAGCAGGGGCAGCCCCCACACCAGCTGGTCCTCTCTGTGTTGTGGGCATGTGGTGGAGCTGCTGTAGGTAGAGGTGTGTGCACACCGCGGGGGTGGTGACATTCATGGGCAGTTCCCCTGGATGTCTCACTGTCAGCGGGCCCAGGAATCCAGGCTGCAGTCCCTGAGCTGAGCTGTCTCAGTCCAGGATTACTGCTTCATAACGACACCCGGGCAGATAAAGGTCTTTGAGGAGAGACTTCAAGGCGACCACAGATGTGGCTGGAGATTTCCTCCATTGTCTGGGCACCTATTTCCTGAGTGGCTGCTCACCCAAGGCACTGGACACCGAGGAGAGATGGCTGGTGACTGATCCCAGAGCTGGCTGAGAGCCGTGGGCATTCTTACTCCACTGCAGAGGAGCTGTTTAAGGATCTACCTTGTATTCACCCACCAGACCCAATACAGACCCCTCAAACGGTCCCAGTCAGTGGCTTCCAGTGGGAACGACTTCTGGACTTTTCGGAAGTGACTTCAGGTTGGAAATGGCAGCCTTGTGGCTGCTCTCAAGTTTCCTGTAATATGATTAAATCTGATTTTTAACTTCTGCTTTCTCTTTCATTGAGGGGAAAACATTCTTTTATTCCTGGAATATTAACATCCCTCTTTGTGCAGTTCTCTGCTCTACACAGGAAACAAGTTCACACCTCATACCAAATCAGACAGCTCCAGTTCAAAGAGGCTCAGACAGAAAGAACTCCTCAGACCTGTATCCCGAAAATATTTTAAATCAATTTGTCGAACTATAAAATCAGGTCTAAGAACTCCTGACTCTTCAATACACCGTCCTACAAAGAAAGCCCAGAGCCCATAAAACTAACTGAATACATGAAGAACATGATAGATTGAGGATTCACTGCCTGCCGCCCCAGGTTAACAACAGACCATGTGTGCTCATTGCTGAGCTCCACCTGACCATGAGTGGCCTAGCAGTTCATTTCCAGCTTCACTTCCTGTGATTTGATGGTGCCTAGATGCTACCAACTGGTACTCACTTTAGCAGTAACAAAAAGAAAAACCACTTCACGTGTATCAGAACGGCTAACCCTTGCCATCTTTCAGCTCTAGATGCAAACAGCCCAGAATTCAAGGCAGTCATAGCCTACATTGTTCATGATAAATCCTCCCAATCCCATTAATGAGAACACTCATTAGACAGGATTCCCGTGACAGCCCAGAATGAACCAGCCTGGCTCTCCCTGAATCAATCTGGTAAGTCCCTGCGCTAATTGGCCAGCTTCCTGTAGGCTGGCAGTGGGGGCACCAGTGTGAGGTGAAAGGATTCTAGGCCGAGAGCCTGGGCTCTGCATCTTGCTTCATGTGGCTCTAGAAGTCTCTTGGCCTGACTGAGGCTCAGTTTTCTCACCTGGAAATGGGAATGAATGGCACCTTCTGTGTAGAGTTCCTGTGTGTGTCAATGTGTCTGGTGAGCACTGATGGGTGGGGGCTTATTGCTATTGACCAGAAGCTTGGCAGGAATCTCAGAGTCAATGGGATAAAATGCAGCATTTGACCCTGAGACCCAAGCGGGGAGGGGATCACCAGTTATGAATGGCAGACAACCAAGGAATGAGAGTGGGAGGGGTCATGTAGAATGGACAATTGTCATCAAGCCTGGAGATGTTCCCAGATCATGAGGGAGGGCAGGGATCCCGTGTCAGTTGTCATGTTTAGGAGCGGGAGCCATCTGCTCTGGCAAGCCTAGAAGCGATCGTCCGTCATTTTAACTTGCTTCCCTCGTACATTTGTTGCAGATGCTGTAAATACCTCTCGGGTATTTCGATGGCTCAGATTCAGAAGCATTGCTGGTTTTAATCTTTCCCCATGTAAATGTGCACCAGATGCGAAGTTGGCTTTTGTCCTTTAGAACTTGATCAATTATTTTGCACTCTGGACTACTGGGAGACAGGGCATAAAAAGAGTTTTCTACTCCAACCCCATGTCATACAACAGAAAATGGCTTATTCTTTGTAAAACGCCAAACCGTCAGTGACTGAGATGAGGTTTTTGATCAGAAGTTCCTCACCCAACAACCCCATTCTGACATGGTCAGGCTTGAGGGCTGTAAAAACTTTGGGGTCTAAGCCCTCCTTGGATGGAAGGCTTCCTTGGTGACATTATAAGTACGTCAGGACACAGGTCAAAAGCAGATAGGAGAGTGTGGGGTGGGGGGGGGTTGAGCGCTTACACATGACTCCTGGGCTGAGGAGGACATTGCCTGCCCTCTGAGTTGGGGGGCACTGACCGCTGACATTGAGACATCCTGGATAAACCAAACCACCCTCAGCTCCAGGCTGGACTCTGTGAGCAGAAGCAGGGCTTGCAGGCAATGGCTGCCCTGGGAAGAAGGAGGACAGTGCCCAGAGTGGGCATCTCACAGCCTGGCTGTCACCAGGAAGCCTAGAGAGCAACACTCCAGAAAAATGTCCAGCCCCATTCTACCTGGTACCTGTTGTTTTTCTTCCACCCCAGTTTCCACATTGATTCCGGTAGGCTAAGTCCCAGTAACAGGTGGACCCCAATGTCTACTGCGGCTCAAACACAGTGATGGTTCGGGAGCATGTTCTTGGCCAAAAGACTTTTGGGCCCAGGCTCGTTCTATTTGGTGGCTCCATCATCCCCTAGAGCTTTGTTGCCATAAGCATGTAGATGGCAGGCAGGGAAGGGAAGCTGCAGCATGGAGACCTGCTCTCTTAAAAGCCCCAGTGCAGAGGTGACAGGCAGCCCCTCCACCCATACTCCCATGTTGAGAATTAGTCACCTGGTCACACCTAACTACAAGGTGTCTGGGAAGGCCGGGTGCTGTGGCTCACGGCTGTAATCCCAGCACTTTGGGAGGCCTAGGCCGGATCACCTGGCTAACGTGGTGAAACCCCATCTCTCCTA